TCTTATACTCTGAAAAATATGGTAATATTGAGATAATAATTGATATTGATATAATAATTGAGAGTGAACAAACTGATTCAGTTGGGTTTTATTTTCCTGGGTTCCAAACTTGACTGAATGGGAGTTACTGAATCCAAAATTAAATGTAGGATAGCTATAGCTAGCATGGAGAAGATCTATTAAAACAGGGCTGTCAAACTCTCACCGCAGGCTGGATGCATCACACGCTGGCCATGGCCACGCCCATGTTTAGCAAAGGGAGAAAAGTCCCAATACGTCACCTGACGCTGCTGTGACGACGTGAGTTTGACACCCCTGTATTAAAACAAGCGTATCAATTTAAATATCAGATGTAAAACAGAAAATGCTAAGTTTTTTCCCCGTAAATACTGTTGTAAAAGATGAGCAATAAAAAAGGATACAAGAAAACTAGTCTCCTTTGAATCATGAATTTGGAGATGTCTACTGTACATAACTTGATTAAAAACATTATGGCTGAGGTTTTCATCTTCATCAAGTCACAAGTATCACCAGAAGCTAGCAATACCATGTTAAGGCTGTTTTATTTTATTTGTGGCATGCCATCAAATTCCTTAGAAAAATCAGTTAGGCTATGAATGATGTACTAGAAAACAAGATTGCCAAAATACATGTTGAGTAGCTGCCATCAACACTTGATAATGGTTTAAAACTACAAAACATAAATTAAAATTGTAAGATACAAGGCAGAATGGAGAATGCTAACCTATAAAGTCTTTGAAAATTAGATGTAATTGAATAGATAAGGGCAGACATCATTTCTGAAATAGCTCTAATCTGGGATGCTTATTGTGCAATACTATTAAACTCTGTGCCAAAGAAGACTATCAGATGACATCAAATGATAGATTCCCTTTGAATGTGTTCATGCAAAACACTTGTGCAAAAATGAGCAAGGTGAATCCTGTCTAGCTACCTGTTGAAATTTGCATCCTCCCAAATTCAGACCCACATTGAAAGAAATGATTGGTTAATATTTTTTCTACCAATGATTGACATTTGATGGGAAGGAAAATGAAGGCATATGAATCCACAAATCACGACAACTGTCTAGACTTGCTACTGGGACAGAATAGTCCCATACTTAACAACAAAGTATGCTGATATACATTTCTACTGCAGGTTTATAGAAAAGAAATTTAACTTCTCCATATGAGGAGACTCCCTAGTACCTGTTGATAATGAATATTTTCTGTATTCATGATTACCATTATCATTCAGAGAAATCTATCAAACTAGGCTGGAATCTTCTGGCTTCTAATTGAGCCTAACATCTCAGTTTGGTTCAGCTGGATTTGGTAATTTGGCTACTTAGGATTGTTTGTTTGTTTAAAAGATTTGCTTATAGATTGCTGTTAGCCAGGATACAATCAGGAATTATTTAAGGTATCATCTATATCCGTGATGACAAATCTATGGGCTGTTTCCGGCCCCGGAGGACCTGTGGGGGGTGGGGAAAGCTGTTTTCGCCCTCCCCAGGCTCCTAAAAAGCCTGGGGAGCATGCAGAGGGCGAAAAACGGACCTACCGGGCCCACCATGCCATTGTGTGCCAAAAGCGGGGGGAGCGCGAGGGGGTCATGCATGCATGCACATGGGGAGAGGTGCATTGAATTATGGGTGTGGGCACGCATACATGCGACCCCTCCGTGGTCTCCCCGCTTTTGGCATGCAACGGCAAAAAGGTTAGCCATCACTGACCTATATCATTGCTAATAGGGACACAGTAGCTTAGTGGCTAAGACATGGAGCTTGTCAATCAAAAGGTTGGCAGTTCAGCAGTTCGAATCCCTAGTGCCGTGTAATGGGGTGAGCTCCCATTACTTGTCCCAGCTTCTGTCAATCTAGCAGTTTGAAAACACTTTAAAAATGCAAGTAGAAAAATAGGGGCCACCTTTGGTGGGATGGTAACAGCGTTCTGTGCACTTTGGCATTTAGTTATGCTGGTCATATGACCATGGAGATGTCTTTGGACAGTGCTGGCTCTTCGGCTTTTTTTTTTTTTTTTTAATTTGATTTATATGCCGCCCTTCTCCGAAGACTCAGGGCGGCTTACAATGTGCTCAGCAATAGAAACGGAGATGAGCACCGCCTCCTAGAGTCGGGAACAACTAGCACATATGTGCGAGGGGAACCTTTACCTTTACCTTTATATCATTGTTACCTCTGTTTCAAAAGTCTGTTTGAGAAGATGACATTACTGCAAAAGGAGAAAATGTTATTTTAGTAGCAGAATTATTTTGAACTGATGAAATTATGGAGAAGCAGAAGGATATTTCCACATTCAAGGCTAGAACATGCCTTAGAAATATTTGCTGCCAGTGTTCAGGGCCCTCCCCTCCCATTTTGTTCATTGTTGTAATACACTATGTGTTGCTAGAAGGAAGACTATCGAGATAGAATGCATATGTTCATTTTGATGGCTTTTGCTATTTTTATCTAATGCAATTTTAAATATGTTCTTCTTAGAACACATGATTAGATTTGTGCACCCAGCCAAGTTCTATATTTGCTGTGGTTGATGAAAAAGACCTTGAAAAGAATGATAGGTGTCAAGTAATGTGGGAGCCAAGCAAGCTATTTTAATAAGGTGAGTCAGTGGTAACAGCTGGCTCAGGATCCATTTTTCTAGTCCATTTGGCAAACTATATTACTCTAATAGTTGATTTTATAAACCTGAGTGTCAGCCAGCAGTATGGTTTAAATTCACACTGCCAGCCCTCCATTTCTAGATAGCAATGAGTTTCTGTTTAGTTTTTTAATAGTCATGACCTTGCTTACTATTTTCCAACAGTTTGTGGTAAAGTTTTTCTTGATAATAAAAATTGCAAATATTAAAATATAGAACATAGAATAATAGAGTTGGAAGGGACCTTGGAGATCTTCTAATCCAACCGCCTGCTCAAACAGGAGACCCCATTATTTCAGAACAAATAATTGTCCAGTCTCTTTTTGAAAGGTTCCAATGATGGAGCACCCACAACTTCTGAAGGCAAGTTATTCCACTTTTGGTTGATTGCTCTCACCTTTAGGAAATTTCTCCTTAGTTCTAGGTTGCTTCTCTCCTTGGTTAGTTTCCAACCATTGTTTTTTGTCTTGCTTTTTGGTGCTTTAGAGAATAGCTTGACTCCCTTTTCTTTGTGGCAACCATTGGAATATTGGAACACTGTTATCATGTCACCCCCTAGTCCTTCTTTTCATTAGACTAGACATACTCAAGTCCTATGACCATTCTTCATATGTTTTAGCTTTCAGCCCCCTAATCATTTTTGTTGTTTTTATATTTGTTTGTAAATTCAACCAGTTTCAGAAAGTTATTTAGGAAGATAGTTGACACAGGTGACATTATATAGTAAGATTTACTTGCACAGTAAGATTTCTTATAATCTAATAATGTTGTCTGTACATTATTAGTTCATGTTGACTGAATTGCCTGGAGTTTTGGGTAAGGTTTACTGAATGACATCATCAACAATTATTGTTGGAATTATTTTTCCTCCCATTTTGTTACATGATTTTTAAAGAATATAAGAATGATACAAATGGAAGACTAAGTTACAGATAGTAAAATATGGAGAGTTAAGACTGAAATATCATAAAACTATTATATTCTAATGTATCTTTAGATACATTATTATAGTAAAGTATTTCTTACCTATTTTGGAATCAATTCCCACATGTTGTTACTGAAATTTACATTAAAAGTTCAAATGATTAAAAAAGGACTTTTGGTAGTAGACAATCCATTAAACCAGTACTGTAAATTGTACTTCAAATTAGGGTATGAATTCCAGAAACCAATTTTAAAGGGTTTTTTTATATGTATAAGTATTCATTTTCATTTTTTTCTTTTCTCTTTTTACCTAATAAAAAAAAGATTATCAAAGGATGACAACATCTTCTTAGTAACCTATGACACTTCTATAATGAGTCATGTATTAAAGGACCTGACTGGTGATAGAAAAAAAATATAGTTAGATTTACCTTTTAAAATAAAGCTATTCTTCACATTGAGCATACACCCACAGATTAATTAGCCATTATTCCCAAGAGGGAATCACAGATCTGTCTCCTTTAAAAAATCAACATTACATTTAACAGACCATATTGTTAGTATCATATAGCCTCAGGATTACTGGAGGCTACAGGAAAATAAATTGACTTAATTTTCCACTTTATAGGAATTTTAAAGGAGAATTTTCATTTGCCTATTTATGAAATTTTCAATGGGAATATTTTAAAAAAATGTCTGGACAATGTCTGGGCAACCACCAGTCTCTAAAAGAGTACTTGCCCAGCCAAATAACTTAGATCAGGAAATTTATTTTCAGTGAAGAAATCTGCAGGGCAATGAATCTGCAACTGATTTGTTTGTGATGGCTCTGTGCATAGAATAATTTCAGCTTCAAGATTATTCATGAGTTTCTCATCAGAATGAGTCATCATGAAACTGCTGCCACTTTTGTTTGCCATCTTAATCCTTTAAAGCAGAAGACCTGGTCTAGAGATAATCAACATTTTTATCTGAACATCTTTTTTTTAAAGCTCCAGGAAAATAAGCAAAGGTGCACAATCTTTGTCTAACTTAAAAATTTAAGAGCTGAAAGAGGATCTGTTTGCAACAGCATGCTGCAAATGGTTTTGTTGGTCTCTTGATTTATTTTGAATTTTAATTTATATTATAATTTATTTTTAATACGTTCTTAGGTTCATAATACATATCTATATAATATATAGGGAAGTTTTTATGATAGGCACAGAACATTTTAAAAAACAGAAACAAAGACATATTGGTTAGCATTGGTTAGCTTCTTGTTCCTTATCCTGATATGAGAAAATCCATGCATATCAGTAACTTTTCAAATGATGACTTACTTTTTTACATAACCTTCCTTATATATGTACTTTCTAGATATTTGATTTAAATACTACATTTATACAGTACCCATCTCACACGTACATGTCTATGAGTGTTGTATATTGCCTTAAATAACATTCTTGAGAGGCAATAAAGAAACGCTATAAAGTATCCAGTTTGAAGGTCTTAGCAATGGACTCATTCTTAGCCCTATTCATATTAATCATGGCTATTCTGGTAGAAAGCTTTTTACAGAAGTTCCTGGTGATTGGGATTTGCTCACATAGGTCCTTCCTCTTGCCCTTCATTTCAAATTCTTATTTGTAACCTTCAGAGTATGCTGCAAAGCCCATCTGTTTCTGAATTGCCTGGAAGGAGGTGGGTTGAAGGTTAAGGATGTAGAAGAGGAGACTGAAGGATTTACGCTGTTATTAATAGGTAGATATGATTACAGCCTTGGTGAGTTGCACAATGAGTACTCTCTGTCTCTTCCCCCCTTCTCTCCTATTATATTTCCCGATCATAAGTTCTTGTAAGTAGCTGTGGCTCAGGATAGACTCTTAAAAGCAAACTTCAATTAAATAAATGCTTGGATTTTTCCTTCCTGTCTCTTTCATTCATATATATACCGGAGATAATATACCCTGTTTTTCCTATATTGTAGACAGAACACATGTTAATATACTGTTTCTTCAATCTATATATATTGTCAAAGTTCCTGTAATATACATGCATTTAACTTCATGTCATAGCTATCCAGCATGCCAAATCAGTATATTTTAATGTATTTATTGACTAATTTATGTCCTATCTATTATCCAAAAGTCCTATTTAATATCCATGTGTTCCTTATTCCTATCCCCTCCTCTTAGCACAGGGCTGTCAAACTCCTGGCCCGTGGGCCAGATGCATCAGGTTCTGGCCATGCCCACACCCAGTTTAGCAAAGGGGGGAAAAGTCCTAATACGTAATATGATGATGCCATGATGATATGAGTTTGACACCCCTGCCTTAGCACCTTGTGAGATTGGTTGGGCAAAGAAAAATACCTGACCCATAATCCCCTAGTGACTTTCTATGACTGAGATGAACGGGGACATGGGACTCCACACTGCTAATCACAGACTTTCACCCTTATGTACTGCTTTCTAGTAATAGATAACAAAGAGGCTCATATCATCCATTACTCTTTAAAGAAAAGCAAAGAAGCAGTAGATTTGCATTTCATTTCTAATAATCAAAGACCTCATTTATTCAGTATTCTTCTAGTCACTTCAGAGAAGATAAATCATCAGAAATATACCCTGGCATTGTCTTGCTTATGACTGTAACCACTTACTCTGTGGCTTCTTGTGTAAATATTGAATAACTGAACTGTGATAAGAAAGCTTACATCTTATAAAATCCATCATAACTTCTCCTGTTGCTATCGCATCAAGATCAGTTGAAACTGCAGAAACACTGCTGCTTTATGGAATATCCAGAGACAACTGGTTTTTTCCCCTTTTAAATCAAAGGAAATAAAACAATCTGTCAGTAATTGATTATAACTAGATATTACCAAATGTTATCTCTCCCTGTGCTAGGGGAGAGGAGATGAAGATGCTAAAAAAAAAGGCAAGGAAAGTTTATTAAGGAAGTTACTTTTCTCAATAGAGAACACCTGCATCAGTTAGTGGGGTTTTTTGTTGTTGTTATTCTATTAATGCCAGAAAGAAGAAGGAAAAAGCATTCTGTTCTTGTATAGTAAACAAGCTGATGGGGGAGCCTCAAGTTTATTAGTCTTCTAACCATAGGAAAGCACTGCACAAAGAAAGAGGAAATAAAAGTTCCCTTCCTTGCTTTTTTCACAACTAATGTCCCAAATGGTCAATAGGATAAAAAATGCAAAATGTCAATATTTTCCAAGCTGTTGCTTCAATATAAATCATACCCCTTGTTTTTCCCTATCTCAGATCAACTGCTGTTTCCCTTTAAAAAAAAAATACATTGAACAATCTTGTATTTCCCAAAATCTAGTTGAGTTTTCCATGTAAGTCAGAGACACTATCTTATTAGAGGTCGTGGATTGAGCAATGAGACCACTAGGTCTCCATGTATCAGATGGAATGAACTGTGGTTCGTGAAAGCTTATGCATTTTAATAATGTTTCTGGTCTGAAAAGCTGCTACTAGACTCCTAATTTTCAACATGGGACCATCTGGGTCTAGGCTGTTGCCTGGAGATTTCCTGTTGGTGATTAGCTGATGAATTGAGGTTGGGGAAGTGAGTGCTAGCAATTTCTTCTCATTTGTGTAGGAAGGTATAGAGAATTCTAATTGATCTAGGACTATTTCTTATATATACCTTTCAGTAACCTATTCGTAATGTCTGTCTATACAGGCATTATTTGCAGCCTATTTTTCCTTTTCCTGTGCTCCAACTGCCACAGCAACTTGCAACCATGGTTACAGTTACTGGGGAAAACATCTGATTTCAAAATTGCCAGCGTACTATCCTTTCACCATCACAGCTAGCGATAAGCTTTTAAAAGCAATAGAACAATGGTTGCTTGATGCTTTACTGATGCTTCTTTATGGCAATTTCTTATAATGCAAATGGCCAGATAAGTGTTCTTGGCTATTGGTTGATCAATTGGACTGGTAGGCAAAGACAGTTTCGTTGTTCCTGGGCCTGCAGTAGCTTGGGGTAGAAAGCTTACTGAATGATGTGCTTGAAATATTTGATTCAAATATTGAATACTATATGAAAATGTTAAAAGCATAACATGTATGCCTGCCAGTTTTGGGCTATAAAACAAAAGACAAATAAAAAAAACAAATGCTTGTACTTTGTACTTCCATTTTATCTCTGATGATTTTGATGTTTTTTATAGTGTAGACCACCAAGAGTTGCTTCAAAATGAGATGGGCAGCAAATAAGTTTAATAATAATAAATAATGAAACCAGATGGCCACTAAAGTGCAGGACTAGAGATCAGGTAGTCCTATAATCACTGCAGGTTTAATCCCAAGCAACCATGGGGAGTAATTGGGGAGAAGGAATTGGTAAGGTTGGAAAATCTGTGCCCTTCAAATAGTAATAAACTACAACTCTTAGTGCTACAATCAATTGTGATAAATGGTGAAACTCTAGTTCAGCATCATCTGGAGGAGCACAACTTCCTCAGCCCTATTCTATAGCCTTCTTCTGGTAGAAAATAGAAAGGCAAAATCAAACCAAATAGCATAGATATTCTATATATTGAACCCAGCTCAGGAAATAGAGGGTTTGCTATGTCTCAGGTCCAAAATAAGTTCCCCACATTAGAATATCCTTGGATTTTGTTAGTACTAATGTTCAGAGTTCATAATTTGAGATATGCTAATCCATACCAGAAACCCATGAGATATACTAATCCATAGAACTGTGGCTTAAAGCTGCTTTTGTTCTTGCCTATTTTATTTAATATGATTTAAACATGTGTTGACTGCTTCGTAAGTTGTTATGACTATCCATATACTTCAATTACATCACATTTAATGTTTTTCATTAGCTACTTTTGAACAAATCTAAATATTTGCTTCTTTTAAAAGTGTGTTCCATCTTTGTAATTACACATACATGTGACTAGAACTACAAGTGTTAGGCTGTATCTCCTAATTTAATTTGCATGTTTCATTACAAAATTCTTGCTCTGTTTATTTTGCTGGGTAACTGCCATCTAGCATAAATGTTTGAAAGCATAAAAGCTAAAACATTACACAAATCTCTTTGCATCCAATATAGTACTTTGCCTCTGAGTAAAGGTATAGTATAAGGCATACAAAGGACATCTGTAGACATATGGAAATACAAATTCTCTCTTGTTGATAATATAAAATAGAAAAAGAAGTACAGCTGTGGCAAAGCCATTTCTTGAATCTGTTACCTCACAGGACATGTTTCTGTAAGAACACACATGGCCTTGTGAATTTGGCTTTGGCATTAATTCATTGTGAGTGGATTTTCTTTTATTTTCAGCCAATAAATAGCATTTAAAAGGGGTCAAAGGAAGCAAATATGAGCATTCTCTTCAAAGAATACCTTTTGTATTGTAATTTATGTTTAATAACACTCCTTACCTTCGAAAATGTATAAAAAGGTAAAATACAATCCTAGGAAGTATGATGAAGCTATCCATGTAGTTTTCATGGCAACTATATAGATGTGTTTGCCACAGCCTTCTCTTGAAATTCTTGTTTCTTGAGTTCCTAATCTAACCGACAGCTCTGGGATTTCCTTGTAGTCATACATCCAAGAACTTACTCTATTTAGCTTCTGAGCTTAGAAAAAAAATCTTGATACGTAGTTAAAATATTCAGTATCTTTGCAGGTCTCAAAGATGTGCAAGTGTGGCAAATGATGATACATCCATAATTATGTCATCATACAAATGAGGCAAGTACACATTTATGTAATTGCACGTGACATCATGGCATAATTATATAATCTTACTATTTGTCCACTAATTTCAAGAGATATGACAGTTCAATGTTATTGTGTCTTGTCAAAGATTGCTACATATACATATAGATTGTTACACTGATTGTTCATATTATTACATATAAATTATGTAATATAAGCTACAGATCCTCATGTCCTTTCGGAAAAAGCATTTCTGAAATGTGCGTAACTGAACTAGTCTAAAAGCTAATTAAAACTTTCAGCAGATCAATTGTATAGGTTTTTAAACAGGTGGCTCTGATAGAAATGTATTAAAGCCCATGATTTTGTTGGGAAAATGTTTTTTTTTTTCACCTCTGAAATGCAATCTTGAACTCAATTCTGTCTTCATTTTTTAGTGAGCATTGGGTCAAAAGCAATACTAATCAAGCAGCTGTGCACAGCATAGGACACAACAGACCAATAAAGTTATTATCACCTCTTCTTACACTGAGGGACCACAAAAAAGACTAGGAAAAAGTTAAAGGTTAAGGATTTGTTATAATCTGTCTTGGGAGAAGGTATCCCTCTTTTGAATGATAACTCTAGAATCTAACATAGCAGCTAAGTGACCATTTTCTTCTGAGCCATATTTTTTCCCTCAGTACTTTAAAATGTTGTTTTTAAACTGGGTTAAAAGCATTCAAGAATTATTCAAAAAGTTTTTTTTCTCTCTGCTTTTAAAATATGACAGTTCTCATAAATAATATCAATAGTTATGAAATACAATTTTTGAATTTTTACTTTAGATACAAAAGTAGCCAACTTCTGAGCACTTTTTCTTCAGATTGCCCATTTAATCTCTGTTATAATAGGTGCATTATTTCTAACAGCATGAAAAACTACACTCTACCTGCATAATCTAGAACCTTCTTTACACACTCTAACAATTAGGTTTCAATTTGTTATTTCATTTCCTAAAAACAAATATTCCATTTGTTATGCTGATTCATTCTCAGTAAGAAACCTCAGATGCTCTGTGTTCAATGGAAGACAAGGTTGCTGGTCAATGGTGATAGACTGGGAGAAATTAATGTCAAGAAAGAAATACTTCAAAAAGACTCACTATCACCACCACTGTTTGTCATTGCACGGATTCGTCTGTCACCAATACTCAATAATTCAGGCCATGGCTAACAAACATCAAAATCATCTCCCAGGATATTCCTCCTCCTTTACATGGACAATTTGAAGCAGTATGGAAAAATAACCAACTGAAATAGAATCACTGCTCAACACTATCCATATATATAGCCAAGATATAGCAATGGAGTTTGAACTGGACAAATGTTTTATACTCACCATCAAATGGAGAAAAATATTGAAAACTGAAGGAAACAATATGGAAATAACATCAAGTGTTTGGATGAAGATGGTCACTAGAAATACCTGGACATCCTCTAGGCTGACAACATCAAGCACACTGAAATCAAGAGAAGGATTAGAAATGAATATATTAAGAGAGTGAAGAAGATCTCAAAATCCAAATTCAGTGAAGGAAATATCATCAAGGCAATTAACACCTGGGAAATTAAAGTCAATTCAAGTCACCAGATACATAGCTGGAATAGTAGGCCGGACTCAAACCAAACTAAAAGCCCTGGATAGGAAGACCAGAATAATAATAATAATAATAATAATAATAATAATAATAATAATAATAATAATTAAAAAAAAATCATGCCCTTCATCCTTGCAGTGATGTTGACAGACTCTACTTACCAAGGAAAATAGGTTGGCATGGAATGTTGTAAATACATCAGATGGTTGCAAAAGAAAAGGAAGAATAGTGAAGAAGATGCATTGAAGCTAGTATACCAGGAAGTCTTACTGATACTGGAGAGACCAAACTGACCTGCAAGAAATACCAACTGAAGAACAGAAAAGAGGTGTGGGAAGACACACTATTACATGGCTAATATATTAAAAGAAGAGCCAGATAATAAGACTCAGTAATGGCCAAGAGCATGAAAGTTGAAGAAAGAGACAGCGGGGCTAATTCTGGCTTTGCAGGACCAAGAATGAATGCATGCAAAGCCAGAGTTGAGAAGACACTGACAAACAGCAAGTGCCACTTATGCAAAAAGAAAAAAGAAAAAAAATGGAAAAAACAGTGGACCACCAGTTTAGCTGCTGCAAGAAGATTACAGAGTGACTACAAGCAATGATATGACAAATTAGCAACAATAGTGCATTGGAAGATCTACAAGAAGTACCATTTGCCTACAAGCAAGAATTGGTGGGACCATAAAATAGAGAAAACAACAGAAAACAAAGAAACTAAAGTGCTCTGAGACTTTAGAATTCAGACACACCAGCACCTGCTACCACATTCCAGACTTAACAATTAGAAAGACAAAAAAAATTGGATAGTGGACATGGCAGTACCTGGAGACAGCAGAAGGGAAGAACTGGAGAAGATAGCAAAATAAAAAGACCTGCAAATAGAAATGGAATGATCCTGGCAAAAGAAAGCAAAGGTAATACCATAGGATTAGGTGCCCTGGGTGCAATCCTAAAACAAATGTAGCATCACTTGAACATTATTGGTGTTGACAAAATCCCCATCAGTCAATTGCAAAAGGCAGCTCTACTTGGTGCAGCTTCCATTCTGTGACAATACCATTATCACCATCAAACAACAGCATCCTTGGGAAGGACTGTGTAGTATATAAAAATGACAAATCCTGTCTAAACATCTGTGCAACCAACTATAAGAATAATACATTTCTGACTTAGTCTTCTCAAGAGCTATAAATCTATTATTTCTATACATAGTTCCAATGAATTTGTGAAGGAAGAGAGGGGTTATATCCACAGTCTCCTTTCCTATGCAGGAGTTTGAAAGAGGCTTAATGTGACAGTATAAGCCCAGCATTATCAGGATTCTTGCTCAACCATCAGAATCTGAATTGTGGATATAGATTCAGTGACATGGCCATTTTCTAGATTGCTATTGTGATTGCTATCACAGTAGAATGTGATAGTACAACAGCAATCAGGTTTTAAAGATGTGGAAATATGTGAGCCTAACTAAATGATAAATGAGATTTATTTCTAATTACAATTGGGACTGCAGCTGTATCCCTAATTCATACAAGCAGTATTATGACAGCTGCATTAAAAAGCAATTATATGAAATAGTTCCATTTGACTACTTTATACGTACCGGTTTACTATCACTGGGTAATTTAGTTTTTGTGATATAACTAAATCTTTCAGAATAGATTCTTTGAAATCATGACTGCCAAATGAAACTCTTAATACTACCGTTAAATCTGTTTGCATATTATTTATAACATATAAAGTAATCTAGTGACAAAGTTTTTAGCACTATATGGAAGGGGTTTTTCTTTGTCTCATTTCACAGAACTATTTCAAGAAAATAGTTGTCTAATTAATCAAAGGAAAAATCAACTATCAGAGGTAGTGCCAACAGACAGAGCAGTTAAAAGCACCTATGAAAGCAAGCACCAAGTGTTAGAAATTAAAAAGCATATTGGACTATAATACACTAAGGACCACTTAGGTATAATGAAACCATAAACTAAGTCTTTTGTTCACTTTGTGCCTTTTAATGAAAAATTTAATTGTGGCACAAATAACAGGTGCTTGAAGCATTTACTGCATTTTCCTAATCATCAGCAGAAACTACAAGTACATGTACATGCACTCCCCATCTCCTCCCCCACCCTTACACAACATGTTCTCCCAGCTACCATCTGGCTGCAATCAAAGTTTTCAGGATGTTTGTGTGAATGTTTAAGAGGGGGTTTTTTTAATTGATGGTGGACAATTCTAGAAATATTTGTGTAGAACATGCAGAATGAAACAACATAGAGGGCCTCAAATGAATCATATCTGGCAATTATAAATTATGATATAGCATTCTATAGTCAAATAAGTCTTAAAATCTCTGTGATTCTGCCAACTCTACAGGATTTGAGATAACTGAGGATCCAGAAAACTTCCACAAAAAGAATAACCTTTAATTCATAGAGACGGTGGATGGACACACCGCAGTGCTCAGAATTTCACCAAAGTAGAATTCTCTCTCTTTCTCTCCCCACTCCCTATTTACCTTGTTGAGTGCATCCACCCTCTCTTTCATTCTATCTTTCCAAGCCTTATAGACTTCTCTAAAGAACTAGGTTTTTGCATAATGTATCTAAATAGTTTTCAATAAAGATGAATAAAATAAAGCCAAGGTCCAGGGTCTGTCCAGTGGTGGTATATGTACTTGATACTTTTAGACCTCTATGCAGTGCCCTCCATTTGGGAACAAAAATGAGAATTAGCATAGTACTGTCCCAGGTCCGGATGGAATTCCAACGGAATTTTATAAAAACTGCCAGTCTGCAATAGACGAACTACTACTACAAGTTCTCAATGAGGCACTGCTGGAAGCAGAAACACCTAAATCTTGGGCCGAAACAATTATCTCACTCATCCCCAAAGAAGATACGGATCCGACTAAAGTCCAAAATTATAGACCCATCTCGCTGTTAAATGTAGATTATAAACTATTCACGACAATTATAGCACAGAGGCTGAAAACAATTATACATAATTATATACACCCCGACCAAAATGGTTTTGTCCCAAGGAGACAAATAAAAAACAACATGAGGACAATAATAAACGTTCTCGAATACTACGAGCAAAACATCAATAATCAGGTAGCGCTAATCTTTCTCGACGCGCAAAAGGCGTTCGACAATTTGAACTGGAAATTCCTTATAGCACAACTGCAGATTATGAATTTCGGCGACAAATTCCTGAAAATGATTAAGAAAATATATTCTTCCCAGACAGCAAGAATTATAATTAATGGAGATATGACCGAAAAAATAAGCATCCAAAAGGGGGTAAGACAAGGATGCCCGATATCGCCTCTACTGTTTATAATCTCACTGGAAGTCCTTCTAAAGGAAGTAAGAAAGGAAGAAGAAATAAAAGGACTGAAGATAAGGAATGAGGAGTATAAACTACAGGCTTTCGCGGATGATGTGGTCTTCATAGTGGAACAACCGGAAGTAGCGGGAGTCAAATTATTAGAGAAGATAGAGGAGTATGGCAAAGTGGCGGGGCTTAAGATCAATAAACAAAAAACCAAAGTCTTGACCAAAAATATGACAATGACACAAGAGGAAAAATTAGAAGAAGAATTAGGAATGCAAATTGCAAAGAAAGTAAAATATTTGGGAATTTGGCTTACTACAAAAGCAACAACTATTAGAGAGGACAATTACATTAAATTGATGAAGCAAATTAGAAAAGACTTGGAAAGATGGAATAAGGTACAACTATCATTTCTTGGCAGAATAGCGTCTGTAAAGATGAACATATTACCAAGACTCCTATATCTCTTCCAAGTGATACCAATTGGTCCGGGAAAAGATTTCTTTAAGGATCTCAATAAGACAATAATGAAATACATCTGGCAAGGAAAGAAAGCTAGAATTAAAATAAGATGCTTACAGGACACAAAGGAGAAGGGAGGCCTAGGTCTACCAGACTGGGAGCTATATTACAAGGCGGCGGCGTTGAATTGGATCAGAGAATGGATAGATCTATCAAATAGGAGAACGCTATACTTGGAGGGATTTGATCTGAGTCGAGGTTGGCATGCCTTTCTGTGGGAAGGCACAGACAAGCAACATCCGTACTTCCAGAGACATGTAATAAGAGGTGCACTATATAAAACATGGCAAGATATCAGAAGGCAACACTATAGTAAAATCCCATGATGGTTGTCGCCTATGGAGGCGCTAATTTATCCGAACACTATAGAAATAGGAAAGATGCGGAAATATCAAGAATTGTTGAGTAGTGAGGGAGACCTACTTACGAGACAAGAACTGGAAAGACGAGGCATTATGATTGATTGGTGGCCATACCTTCAAATTGAGTCAAAATATACAGCAGACCGGAGACATTATGATTTTCAAAGCCAACCAAGTGAACTAGATAAAATTTTAAAAGGCACAGATGAGAAAATAATATCTAAAATTTATGGATATTTAATAAGGTATAAATTAGAGGAGGAAACAGTGAAAGAAAACATGGTAAGCTGGGCAAGAAATATAGGTCACAATATAGAGTTGGATAGATGGGACAAGCTATGGGCAGAAAATTATAAGATGACACTGTCGATTCTATACAAAGAAAATTTATACAAGATATTTTATAGATGGCACCTTCCTCCGGCACGTTTGGCTAAAATGTTTCCAAACACATCACCAATGTGTTGGAAGTGCAAGACACAAATGGGGACATATTACCATCTCTGGTGGTCTTGCAGGAAGGCACAACGCTACTGGCAAGAGATTAAGAGAATAATCGAAGAAACAACGAGGCAAAGTGTAGAAATGAAACCAGAACTCTTTCTATTTGGAATGACTACACCACAGTGTACCAAGG